TTGATCACATCTTAGGTCACAAGTCTAAGCTCAGCCAATTTAAAAGGATAGAAATCATTCCCTGCATTTTCTCGACCATCATGGAATAAAAGTTGAACTCAGTAACAACAGGAACCTGCATACGCATACAAAAACATGGAAACTAAACAACCTCATGCTGAATAATTGCTGGGTCACAGATGAAACTAAGAAGGAAATTATCAAATTTTTGGAACAAAATGATAATGAAGACATGAACTATCAGAACCTCTGGGATACTGCAAAGGTAGTCCTAATGGGCAAATTTATGGCATTGCAAGCCTTCCTCAAAAGAACAGAAACAGAGGAAGTCAACAACTTAATGGAACATCTCAAGCAAATGGAAAAGAAAGAACATTCCAACCCTAAACCCAGCAGAAGAAAAGAAATAACCAAAATTAGAGCAGAAATAAATGAAACTGAAAATAAAAGAATCATACAATAGATCAGCCAATCAAAAAGTTGGTTTTTTGAAAAGTCAATAAAATAGATAAACCTTTGGATAACCTAACCAGAAGCAGAAGAGTAAAATCCCTAATGTCATCAATCAGAAATGATAAAGGCCACATAACAACAGACTCCACAGAAATTCAACAAATCATTAACGAATATTACATAAAACTCTATTCTCAAAAGTATGAAAATCTGAAGGAAATAGATCAATACTTGGAAACATGCCACCTCCTAGACTTAGCCAGAAAGAAGTGGAAATGTTGAACAAGCCTATAACAAGTTCTGAAATAGCATCAACTATAAGAAATCTCCCCAAAAAGAAAAGCCTGGGACCAGATGGCTTCACATCAGAATTCTAACAAACCTTTAAAGAGGAACTAGTACCTGGGTGGCACCCGTGGCTCAGGGTGTAGGGCGCCAGTTCCGTATACCAAGGGTGGAGGTTCAAACTCGGCCCCGGCCAAACTGCAGCAAAAAAGTAGCCAGATGTTGTAGCCAGTGCCTGTAGTCCCAGCTACTTGGGAGGCTGAGGCAAGAGAATTGCCTAAGCTTAGGAGCTGGAGGTTGCTGTGAGCTGTGTGATGCCAGGGCACTCTACCAAGGGCGATAATGTGAGACTGTCTCTTAAAAAAAAAAAAAAAAAAAGAGGAACTAGTATCTATATCACTCAAACTTTTCCAAAGTATAGAATAAGAAGAATACTACCCAACACATTCTTTGAAGCAAACATCACCTTGATCCCCAAACCAGGAAAAGACCCAACAAGAAAAAAAATTATAGGCTAATATCTTTAATGAATACTGATGCAAAAATATTCAACAAGATCCTAACAAACAGAATCCAGCAATACATCAAACAAATTATACACCATGACCAAGTGGGTTTTATCCCAGGGTCTCAAGGCTG